AAAAAAAAAAAAAAAGAAAAAGAAAAACATGAAACTTAAAACTGGGGGATCAGAGATAATGGTGCCAATTACAACTAGAATTACTGCTAAGCTTTACTTAATCTTATTACGTGTCCAGTCTTGCTCTAAATTATTTGCTCGTAATAACTTCCTGGTCAACCCCCTAGTTTACAGGTGGAGAAACTGAGACTCAGGGATGCTAAGCTCCTTGTCCTCATCACCAGACTGCAGAGCCGGGGTCCACACCAGCGGGTAAGGCTCCAACACCCAAGGTCTTAGCTCCTACACTGTTCCTTGTCCACACACAGCACTGAAGGAGTCTGGAAACAGTAGTTCCAAAGCCACCTTGATCGAGCTGGGAATGTTTGGGCTAAGAGTCATTTGCATTAATTTCAGAGAAATCAAGCTGCAAAAAAGTGGTGAGATACCTGCTCTTCCTGCTCTATCAACTCGGTGCAGAATAATGTTACTTTCTTACCTCTCTGCTGCTCCCCACCCCCTCCCCAGCTCATCCTGAAACTGTTCCTCATCTTGGGATGGCACAGCCGGGAGGAGAAGAAACCATCAATTTCCCCATATCATTCTGGAGAGGCTCTGGGTTCAGATCTCCACCCGCGTGCCAGCAATCACCCCCCAGGCCTGGCCGGGGCATCGTGACTGTGTCTGTACAGCCTCCACCTCGGGCCTGGATGGACGCCACGCTGGCCTCAGCCCATCCACGCATAGTCAGCAAAGCTCTTTCTTCGACTTCAACAAGCTCCAGCCCCCAGTTGGTGAAGCAAACCCCAGCAAGAAAGCAGTACTGGTTAAAACGTGATTCCCAAAAAGAGATGCTAAAACGAAAAGGAGCAAGGGCGGTAACTCGAAGGTGCAGAGGCCAGGCGGGGACAGTCTCCCACGGGGCCAGGGCTACCCACCACGTCTGGTGCCTTCTGGATCTGGGAGGCCAGCTGGAGGGAGTGATTGGCCGATGAGAGCTGTTCTCTTAAGGTCTCCGCCTCTCTCTGAAGGAAATGAAAAGGGGTGAAAGAGAAAGCACATTCAGTTTAACAACTGACAATTATTACAAGAACATTCATCAATTCATGCCTGACTGACTATAATTGATTTTCCTAAACACTCAACCTAATAAATGCTAGGGAAAAAAAACACAGAATGTGATGGATTTTTATTTTAAACAGTACAAGGAAGAAATAATTGAGCGATTATGACAGTAATTTAACGCTAGGAGCAAAGGAATCCCCTGCTGATACTAATACTCCGGCCCACTGAATTTCCCAGACTGAATAAATACAAGTGGAAATCGAGTCTTTTGATTCAATTTCTTTCTATTCTCATAGACCAAGAAGATTTTATTGCGGGATTACTCCTGGGAGTAATTCTCACGGGTAAACAGTGAATTAAAGACGCTTTCGCCATTCTCTTCCTAAAAACACACACAAACAATGTTGTGGTTGTTTTTCTTCAGCGAGGATTTCCATCAACGTACAGGATGTAAATGCCACTGCTTCTGTACCGGCTGGGTTTATTTCAACATATTTAACCCTTCACTGGGCAAAGTGTTTTGAATGCTGATCCCGGCATTTTCAGCCAACCAGGCCAGTCAGAGGCACAGACCGTTGCTGGGGGCTGTGGGACAAATGAGTGGACTTTCCCATCATTTGCCTGCAATTCCCGAACAAGGAAACCACCATCCCCAGAAAGCAAATGGGGATTTCCCACTGGATGACGAGACAGGTCACTCTAGTACCCGTCACCCGACAGGGCATCTGGGAAAAGACAAACCCTGGCAAGTTACCCAAGCTTGCCGAGCTGCCGCCTACCGATCTGTAAAATGGGAGCCCCATCCCTAGCCACAGAAGTTCCTGGGATACACAGAACTCAGGCAGACATTATTTGTGAATGGCCTTGTGCTGATTTAATAGTTAGGATTGAGACACAGTTCCTTTTTTTTTTTTTTTTATACAGAGTCTTGCTCTGTCGCCAGGCTGGAGTGCAGTGGGGCGATCTCAGCTCACTGCAACATCCACCTCCCAGGTTCAAGTAATTCTCCTGCCTCTGCCTCCCAAATAACTGGGACTACAGGTGTGCGCCACCACGCCCTGCTAATTTTTGTATTTTTAGTAGAGACGGGGTTTCACCATGTTGGCCAGGATGGTCTCAATCTTGTGACCTTGGGATCCGCCCGCCTTGGCCTCCCAAAGTGCTAGGATTACAGGCATGAGCCACCGGGCCCGGCCTTGAGTCGCAGCTCTAAGATAGGTGGGAGCCAGTGGTGAATGACGTGCGACACATGGACTGAGATGAAAGTTCTGCTTCTTCCTCCCAGACTTACATAAACATTCAATCAGGAGAGCCTGGCCAGGGAGCATCTCATCATGTGTGTTATTTTGTGGTATGGCAGTGTGTGGCTATTAATTGCTGAGAAAGTGCTCAGAAAGACAAGCAGCTGGCCTGCCCTCGAACTGGGTGATCACTCTAGTTCTAGGAGGGGTGGCTTTGGCAGCTTTAAGTAATTCTGTGGCAACAGCATTGAAAATATTTGCCCTGCATACGGACAAATTAGGATATTTCTTTTTTTTGAGACGGAGTCTTGCTCTGTCTCCCAGGCTGGAATGCAGTGGCACAATCTCGGCTCACTGCAGCTTCTGCCTCCTGGGTTCAAGCAATTCTCCTGCCTCGGCCTCCTGAGTAGTTGGGATTACAGGCACCTGTCACACCTGGGTAACTTTTGTGTTTTTAGTAGAGACAAAGTTTCGCCATGTTGGCCAGGCTGGTCTGGAACTCCTGACCTCAGGTGATCTGCCTGCCTTGGCCTCCCAAAGTGCTGAGATTATAGGCATGAGCCACCGCGCCCAGTCAATTTAAGATATTTCTAACGGCAGTTCCACATGCCCAGGGTAGTGCTGGTGGCTGCCTGCCTTGCATCTCCAGGAGCTCTTGGAATTATATTCAGTTGAGTTCATGTGGTGCAGTCACCTCTTTCACTGGCTCTCCTCTACACTGAATGAATCTAGGACCAGCCATCAGGAAGGAGGCAAGGTGACCTGTACGTCCAGGACTGTAGAGGTGATTTCTGGTTCATGCTAACTAATCAACTGTTTGTTTGTTTTTTTTTTTTTTTGAGACGGAGCCTCGCTTGCCCAGGCTTGAGTCCAGTGGCATGATCTTGGCTGACTGCAACCTCCACCTCCAGGGTTCAAGTGATTCTCCTGTCTCAGCCTCCTGAGTGGCTGAGACTACAGGCGTGTGCCACCATGCCTGGCTAATTTTTGTATTTTTAGTAGAGACAGGGTTTTGTCATGTTGGCCAGACTGGTCTCGAACTCCTGACCTCAAGTGATCCACTCGCTTCAGCCCAGTCTAATCAACTACTAAGACTACAGAAAAGCGTCCTCTTTAACAAAAAAGATTTTTCCCAGTTTATTTCCAGACGAGCCACGCCAAGCGTTTCTGATAATCATGTCACATCATTGAAGGGCGTACTTTTCCCTTGCTGGTCAGTTGAACTCTTGGGTAGAAAATATCCAAGACTCTGCCTGAAATAAGATGTATTTGGAGATATTTTTCCTGGTCTCTTGGGCTAGAAAACCTATTTCTTAGCCTCGTGGAGAAACTGTTCTGGTGGCAGTCAAGGAGGTGGCCTGACCACTCTGACTTGTAACACGGGCTCTGAAGTGTTCTGGGATGGCCAGAGCTGGGGAAGGCTGGGGCATCTGGTTACAAGGTATCCCCAGGGGCCTACACTGGTCTCAGGTGGGCGTTTAGCCATTCAGAACAGATACTGTCTCATCACAATGCAACAGTTCACAGAAGAAGGGATCTAGCTGATGATTTCAACCTCTGATTGCATAACTATTTTTTTTTTTTTTTTGAGATGGAGTCTCACTCTGTCGCCCAGGCTGAAGTACAGTGGTGTGATCTCAGCTCATTGCAACATTCACTTCCCAGGTTCAAGTGACTCTCCTACCTCAGTCTCCTGAGTAGCTGGGATTACAGGTGTGTGCCACTACGCCCAGCTAATTTTTGTATTTTTAGTAGAGACAGGGTTTCGCCATGTTGGTCAGGCTGGTCTCGAACTCTTGATCTCAAGTGATCTGCCCGCCTCAGCCTCCCACAGTGCTGGGATGACAGGCATGAGCCACCGCGCCTGGCCTGATTGTATAATTTCTGTGGAGCATTTGAACTCGCGCTCAGTTTCCAAGTTCATGGACAGTCTCTTCGTGGCCTGTCCGTTGGCGGTCACGGTGGTCAGACTTCTGTCACTTACGGCTTGACTTCCTTTCTTTCGCGCAACTTTCTGATCACGTAGTTATTCAGGAATTCTGTCCTGAGGGTGTCCAACAAAATACAAAACCCACAAAACGTTGCGTTGCGGTGGTTTGTGCGGTGAGACATCCACGAAGCAGAATTCAAACTAAAAACACACCTAACGGCAGTGAAAAGAAGGAGCGAGGGAACAGACGCCGACCTGCAGGTGGGGTGAACTGGTTTCGGGAGCTGAGGCAGGAAGAAGGGGGCCCTGTGCCGGGTCGCGCGTGGTGATACTGGTTTTGGGGCTCTAGCGTCTTTCTGAAGACACCTGTTTGACCAGCTGTAGCTGTGTCTCTAGATCCGGAACCCCAGACGCAAGAGCTGAGGCTGCCCTGAGACCTCCACCTCCCTGTGTTCTCTGTGGCTCCTGTCTCCTGTGTCCCTGGAGCCACCAGGAGCCCTCATTCTAATTTTGCGTGTGCCCTTTGCTGAGCCTGAGCGGCTGTTGTGGGAGTTCTTTCTTGCTGTTTCTTGTCTCTTCTCTGTTCTTTGCTGAGAAATCAGAGTAGACGCTGGAAACACAGGGGCGATATGAGCCCGTATCGTGATAACTCAGAAGACAGCCGCCCGGGAAGGGGACTGGCAGCTACTGGGCTCACACAGGCCGATGCCCACCACCTGGCAACAGGGTCCAGTACGCTGTCATGAAGGTCCCTGGCAGGTGCGGCTGCAGGCCCTCCTCACATCCTCCTCATCTCAAAACGGAAGACGCTTTTGGGGGCAATGACTCTCAGCTCGCAGCAGGTTAAACCGCGCCTCCCCTCAGCAGTCACGTGGGAGGTAGCCAGCAGCTAGTGACACAGTGTCTCAGGAATTCTTCCTGTTAGAGGCAAACCAGCAAATACAGAGATGGTCTCCACTGTGAGACCCAGGGAGCCTCTGTCTCTGGGGAAGGTGAGGGAGGCTGTTCTGCTCCCTGCACTGGAGTCACATCCATCACTGGGTGATTTGGGGACAGGCAGCCAGAACCAGGGGTCCACAATGTCACCTTATCCTACACGAAGTTCTACAGGCCCCCCAACCCCTGCCCATGCCTCAAAGACCCATGAAAGGCCCCAGGAAATACGGTAAATAAATGCTGCTTTCGCTGGGCGCGATGGCTCATGCCTGTAATCCCAGCACTTTGGGAGGCCAAGGTGGGCGGATCACTTGAGGACAGGGGTTTGAGACCAGCCTGGCCAAGGTGGTGAAACCCCATCTCAACTAAAAATAAAAAAATTAGCTGGGTGTGGGGGTGTGTGCCTGGAGTCCCAGCTACTCGGGAGACTGAGGCACAGGAATCCCTTGAACCCAGGAAGTGGATGGTGCAGTGGGTGACAAAGCAAGACTCCATCTCAAAACAAACAAACAAACAAAAAGCTTTCCCTGTCCTCAGCCCCCCTCCCCCGACCGGGATGTGAATACAGGATGCAGACAGCTACTTCCAGGCCTTTAAAGTCTGAACAATTTGACTCATAAAATGCAGTGCAGTATCATGGGAAGGACACAGAAGGGTGGGCTCGCAGAGGATAAAGACAGAGCCTTGAGCCAGCTGCATCCTGGCGGGGCGGAGGTGTGGGGAGAGGGCTGGGCGCCCTGCCCCACACGTGTGCAGAGGTGGCTGTGCTTCGGAATTCTCTTGGGAGGCTCATTTTCTTCTCCCTCTGGAACCGTCACCGTCTCCCCTTTAAGGGCAGACTCCCCCCTTCCCT